GTATAGCTATTGCCCCAACGTTAGGTGAGCTAAGCTATTTGCACACGATCTTTGCTTAAAACATTAGCATATACAGTTTTTTAGTTCCCCTTTGTGCTTTTAATTATTACAGGTTTCTATCTGTGTTTTAAATCTTAAACTAAGATTCACACACAGGCTGTATGAAATAGCCAGCTGCTAATAATGCATTTTTTTTAAAGCTGTACAATTTTTAGTGTGCATTATTCAATGAAATGGAGAAATTTCCCTGTATGCTAGTCAGAGCATCATTGTAATATTCAGTTATCCCCACTGGCCATGCATTATGGGCCAAACTTGGCTCCAGACCTAGTTTTTAATGCAGGGCTCATTAAATGGGAAGGCACTTGGCACTGAATAATGTTCATTTCTACCTGAGTTCACGCTGCTACGAAGGAGGAATCCACGAATAAATGTGGCAGAACATGTATGCTAATTAATTTTATTCGACTGACATAAAAAAGCCTGAAAAGTTAAACATTTAATTGGATATACTGTATTTTTTATTCCTGGGTTACGCAGGCCAACTGATTTTTAAACAGATTCTTATTTACAAACAGGGTTTGTGATAGAGTAGACATGTGCGGCGAACAATGATTTGAATACATATCAGAATTTGTGACAAGGGCAGTGAAAAGGGCATGAAGCCTTGCTGCTGACCCGGACCACCCAGGTAACCATCTGCTCTGAAAACATTCCCTGGAAACTGTTGATCCATTAAGAGCTGTAAGTACTTCATCTGCCTCCCTAAAACTCATTACAGAAGTTTGTAAACCTCACCGCTGCCACTGTTGTGTACACAAAACCTGAACCATGCTCCAAATTAGACACATGACATATTTCACACATTTGACTGTATGCCAGGCTGAACAAAGCAGAGAGTTTAAGGTGGCAGATTTAAACAAGTAAATCTTAGTGTAACCTTTATGAATAAAACTAATAAAGGTTCACATTTTATTAAATGTTTTAATTTAAGTAATAAACTCGCTTTAAATAAGTCATGCCTCCAAATGTTTCCCATTGCACAACTTTTTGCGTTGCTTTATTTGGACATTTGCACGACAGCTCAGACATGTATCAGGTAACTGCCGTGAAGTTTTTCCTTATTTTCATTTAAGTTTCCTCCTGAGCAAAGCATGGGCACCATGTGTTAAAAACAGTCAATGCAAGACTACACTGACTGTGTTCTTCAAACCAATGGATCAACTTCTGTTTTAAAAATTCAGGAAATTCAAAGTAAACGCATCCTCTGAATCATTTTTACTTCAAACCAAAAAGCATAGTGACCCGACAGAAAGCAAAGGAGACTGATGATGATGAAGAACAGGTGTGTGGCAATGGGTAAACTAAGACCAGGTGTGGGGGAGAAACAAAAAACAAGACACTGATCCTGTCAATGATAATATGGATTTATATGAGAGAAAAAAAGCTGTACTTGTTCCTGTCAACTACTGTTTCTGATGCAGAGGAATAGAAAAGCACTTCAAAAAATCTCTACATATTTTTAGAGGTTTAACGTTATTTATAAAAGACGTTGGACTACAACTCAATTGCAGCAATGGTTCAAGAGAAGCATGTTTTGCTAAATGGAACATATTGAACAGGAAGTCAGAGTAACTGCTGGAAAAACAAGAATGTAAAAATCTATTAAACAGTTTAAAACTAAGATTTTACATAATGGTATATAAAAGGTAAAGGTTTATAAAAGAGTATTCACATAAACGGCTTTGAAATATTTAAAATTAGAGCTGTTTTGAGATGTAAGGAAAACAGTTTAATTCCATTGTTTCAATCTGACAACACACTGAGTGAGTTTGACTGCAGGTAAGATATTGATTACTGTTAAAAACTGACCCATTTTTAAAAAGATGAACTATACATTTAACAAACTGACAGTGTAGAGCAATGGTTCTCAAACATTTCAGCTTCTGACCCACATACACTTGTGACTCTGACATTTGATTTTAGTTTAACCATTGTTTAACCAGGCAGGTCCCACTGAAATCACAGATCTTATTTTTCAAGGGAGGCCTGGGCCTGAAGGCAACCTATTGTACAGGTTTTTGGGCTGTGGGGGAAACCGGACCACCCAGAGAAAACCCACACAAGAACATGCAAACTCCGCACAGAAAGACCCTAGGTCTGAACCAGGGATCAAACCCAGGACCTTTTTTGCTGTGAGACGTCATTGCTAACCACTGATCCATCGTGCAGCCAAATCATTCACAAACTGATTGCACATTGCTAACAGGCTAACTAACCAACAGTCTGAGGACACAAACCTCAACAACCATTAGGCCACTTTTATATATTTATTATTATTCTTTTATCTCCTGGGACAATAAAAACCAAACAAACAAAAAGTCTGTTTTTGATTTGATTAAAATTTTTATTTCTGGAATTCCTCTCATGACCCCCAGCTTAGTTTTTTATGACAACTTTGGGAACCATTTTGTATTTGAGATTTTACCTTTTTGTGCCGTCCTTTATCCTATCTGCCAGTGATTTAGTTTTGCTCATGATGAGACTAATTTCAAACATTTAAAATGAGTTTTTAACCTTGATAAATGCAGTTATGTTGCTGGGAAACTGTATTTTCAGAGTCCAACGTACCGCAGGGTCCCTGTAGCAGGAAACTCCGGCACATTCTCACGTGAGGCTGAAATTAATCTCTTTAAGTTGTTTATCGGCGGAGCTTTGTTTTATGCCCTGACCATTGTGAGACATGTCTCTTCGCACGGGATGCAAGGTCCTGCCGTCCTTGTCCTGCGTTTGTGGGAGTGTGTGTTTCAGTGTGTCCCTGCAACAATGTCACCGAGAGGAATTCCTGCTGATCAAATCACACGTCACTGTTGCTGTATGAATTAATCACTTCAATTTGGAAATTTACATGTAGTTTAAGGGAGTTGTGCTGATGAAGAATACATGCTGTGCAGGAATAGGGGGAGTTAATGAGACAAATTTGGTTTAAAAGCACTGAATTTGTGGTTTAGTTAAAAAAATACATTATAATAAATGTCATAAGAGGGGGATTCTCTTAATATCTTTTAATATCTGCCAGCAAATAACAAGTACGTGTGTCTGTTAGCAAAACATCTCCTGAACCACTTGAAGGATTTTAATGAAACCTTCAGGAAATAATCACTGGATGTTCATCCACAACTGTTTACCTTTTGAATTCAACCTCTTTTAAGATGGCCGCCACGTTAATCAACATTACCCATCAGTACAAATGGCTATAACTCGTTCAGTTTTACAGATATTGAGCTTAAATTGTATGTGGTAGTAGCTGAGAGTCATTCACAACACGTACTCTGAGCACAGGATTGAGCATAATGTTATATTTATAGTATGATTTAAAACTCACAAGTCTAATTATGTGAAAGGCTAGTGATATGCATTCATTAAAAGACCAGGCTTTACATATTTTGGAGGGTTATGTTTGTTTTTATATACAGTAGAGTATCTCAGATTATTCTGTGTTAAATCAGACTGGGAGGCTATGGATAAACCTTTGTTGGGAAGAGCAATTATCCCAAATATGATTAGAAGAGTAATTACACAAGTCGTGCAATCAGGGAACTTTTGCCCCACAGTAATTATAAATTTTGTGCATGAATTAATATTTCTCCTCTAATTTTCAGATTTTTTTAAAAGTAAAAGGCTAACTTTTCTCTCTCTCTCTCTCTTTCCCCCCTTGAGAAGCACCGGACTGCAGCGAGTGTTTGCACCCTGACAACATTCATTTAGACTGAGCTGCTGCACTGTGTGTTGAGGTGGTGCAGGAGCATGCATAAAGGGCAAGTGGGAGTTTGCAGATTCATGCCCTCAGACTGGCTGAAGATGTAGTGGAGGAGGTTAAAGTAATTAATAAATAAATAAATAAATAAATAAATAAACAAACAAACACTTACTCCCCTCAAAAACTACAAAGTGCTGTTGGACACATTATCTGACAAAAAGAAGAGCCCTGATTTTTCTGTGTTAATCTAGTGGAGCCTGGTGAATCTTTTCTGAGTAAATAAAGTAATGGTCCTGCTACCTTCTGAATTTTTAATCACTCTCAATTACCTGAGAAAGCTGGAGCATGAATATTCTCCTTGAACATACAACACTCCCACCAGCTGTTCTAATTCTTCATTTTTCAATCATTTAATTAAATTTCCTGTCGCCACTGTTGCTGCAGACACAAAAGATTTTCAATGTCAAACGAGGGGCCTTCAAACAAGGGCGGGCAGTGGGTCTGGGCAACCTACAGACAGAAGAAAATAAAAAATAATAATACTTTGAGATATGAAACCTTATCGAGGAGATTTCTATATTGGAGTCAGGTTTTGTTCCCAATCCCTGCCAAGTGTGCCTTTTTCATTCTTGAGGACCGTTTCCCCCCAAAAAAACAAAACCTCCATTCTCAACAGACAACAAAACACATTTTAAACAGCTTTATATATTTCTACTCATTTCTTGGAACAAAATCCAGCACATCAGGTATGACATAAAGCAGCTAAACTCAAAATCAATCCAACTTTTACCCTTTTTATCTTAGATTTTTTTCTACAAGTAGCAATTAAACACTAAGATTCACCAAAGTCCTCTTTTGTTACATGATTTGAATGAAATCTGTTTCTTATTTTCCAGTTTTGTCTCCAAGATTAAGCACAGCAAACTTACAGGAATTTCAGATTGAATTACCTCACACGGGTTTATGATGCAGCCTCCAGACTGACCTTCTGGGAGAAGCTTAAAACTAATTAAAACAGTTTTCTTATATGAGTTTGGCAATAATTTAGAGACAAAATCCCAAAAAGATCAAAGCAAATGTCCACAAAACTATGAAATTTGAAGAAATGCAGAAAACACTCAGACCGCGGATTTGTGGGAATGTGAGGAGGAAGACGCGCGCAGGAGCTGTCCGCGGTGCTGAACGCTGCTGTCGGTTCGCTTCCAACAAACAGGCACAAAAAGAGGAGAAGAGCTCTCACCTTCCACCTCGTCCTCAGGCAGGCTAACAGGGGTCCGGCAGGTGAGGACATCGGGAATAGTGCAAAGCCCCTTGTACATGAACCTGGTGGTCACAGCACGCACTGGCATCTCTGCTAGGGGAAACCAACAACTGGGTCTCGATCTTCATATAGCCTCGCTCTCCGGAGTTGGATGTGGACGGACCTCTTCAGCTGCTCTCCTTGATATTTCAGAGGAAATATCAAGCGAATAAAAAAAAAATACCACGAATCCTTACAAAGTTCAGCTTTTTTGTTATATCTTTTTTAAAAAGGAAGAAAAAAAAAATCACATTTCACGGGGCGTGTGTTTGACACCGGGAGGCAGCCTGGAAATGGCCTCGGTGTTCAGTGCATAGAAGGATTTAAAAATAAGGTAAAGTTTTTGCTTCAAAAAGCCTGTTGATCCGAGCTGGAACGGTACGAATTTATCTCGCCGGATCGACTGGGTTCAAAGGAAATGAGCGGACTGCTTTTTCCGTTCATTTGTGGATCTTATGGCAGCAAGAAGAAAAAAAAAGAACAAAAACAGGAAAGCACGAAGAGAAACTCTCATCTGATTTCACTGATTCCCACAACAGCTTGTTCCCATCACTTTTCTTCCCCGTTGCGGCATCTTAGAAATAAAAGAAAAAAGAAAAAAAAAATGAAATAATAATAATAAAAAAAATCGATGGAGGTTTCTCTGAAGCTGCAAAGCGTTGATCCTATCCAATAAAACGATGCTGGAATAATAATAGTAATATAAAAAAAACACCTCGTCTTAGCCCCCCGCCCCCCCTCCCTGGAGAGCGGTTTTAAGGGAATCCTGGGTGACCCCCCTCCCTCTCATCTGATCCAGACGCGCTGAATGAAGCTGCGACGCTTCCTCTGCTGTCTGATCCAAAGCCTGCCTCTGCTTCACGCTCACACTGTCACCGCCTCCGACGAGACGATTCCTGCCTTCACTCCACCCGTTCGGACATTTCAACACAACACATTGTGTGACAGGAGGGAGGGAAAATAAATAAAACGAAGATGGTGATGCTTCGCAACAGGTGACGCTTCTCAGCCTCTGCGCTTGTTTCCATATCAGAGGAGTGAAAACACTGCCTTCACACTTCAGCCTTTAAGCAATTAAACAATTGCAGCCAATCAAGAGGCAGAACGTCTGACTGTTTGAAATTATTGTCACCATTAATATATACGTATGTATGTGGGCTTATTTTCTGACGGATTTTCCAAGCAGCTTCTGCCCAGAGCCTCTCAAAATGATTTTTTTTAATCAGTGCTGGAAGAAATAGCATTGTGTGAGAAGTGTAGCTAAAGCTGCTCGTTTTTGGTCACTGTGGTAACCATTCACTTATCTCTCACTCCCTGATTGCAACCTTAAAAGAAGTTGAGAGAAATGGACTGAAAACTATCAGCTGCTGTGTGAAGTGTAAGGTATATTTAAAAAAAACCTTGAACAATGAGTCTAACAGTCACATTTGTGTTTTATGTGAGATGTGACCTGTTAATCACTTTTAATTTAGAAGTTCTACAGCAGTTGGAAACACACCGCATGAAAGAAGACAAAAATACCTATTTTGATATGTGATCCATCACATTAAACTGATGATTGAGTCAAATTTGGTCAAAATGACCCAAGCATATTTTCAGATTCCTGCTTTTTAGGCTACGTTTTGATCATCCTGATATCCTGAGCTATTCCAGACATCTGCCTTGATTTGTAGTTTGTCCCATCAATGTTTGGTCTGAATCCCAGTTTTAGGTCATTCTGCAGTAATTTTTATCATTTATCATTGAAAGAGGAAACCTCCAAGAATATTTGAATATCAGGATGTACCAGCTGAAAAAGGGAAGTTTTTTGCAGAGAAAATAAAAAATGAAGGGCTTTTCTGCTCAAAATCACGGTTTTTGTTGCTACTTCTCAAAAACGGGGCTTTAAAACATTATTTAATGTTATATTTCATATATTTTATTCAAAGTATTAAAAGTCATTATTTATAATATTCACACCATTCTGTGGAAAAATCTCTAAAATCCTAAAATTAAAACCATAATTGTGTAAAAAGCACAAAACGAACAGCCAGTTCAGACATGTAGAGTACAAATTTCTGTGATTTGTTTAAACTTTCTGTTCTTTCACTGTGATGTTGTACCTGAGCTGCAGCGCTCCACAGATGGCTGAGGTTTTTCTGTCACAAAATAACCTCTATAATTTTTTCCAACAGTTTTTCTATTTTAACAAATTAAAAGTCATAAATCTCATCGCACTATTCCTGAAGGAGCTGCATGTTTTGATGTATAATTTGCAAGTTTTATTTCAGAGCTGTGGGACGAGATGCAGGACAAAAAGTTTGAGCAGAATACTAATGAGGGTTTTTTTCAATTGAACTTTCTCCATAGTACTTCTGAGGTGACAAATTACAGCATTTTCTTTTTAAGCAGGTGTCAATGCTGCTCATCCTTTTTTGCTCTGCCAGATGTTTGCTTCGAGTCATTTTTCTCCTAAATGACCCCAAACTTCAACTCAGACCTAATTTTCTGATACAGGGTAAGTGATTTTCCTCTGAACGGACCTGAAATATCACAGTAATCTCCTGATTTTATCATCTTTTTAATTGCACTGAGTGCCACAAGAAGCCCTGCAGAAACAGTGCTTATCAGTAAACAAACTGATGCATTTGTATTCGCTGCGATACTTGATCTTCCTCTGTCTTCATAATGTTATCGAGAGACACCGGGGTTGGTTGGTGGAAGTCTCAAACATCAGTACCAACTTTTACCACCTCACTCTCATTAGTTTTAGTCTTCCTTGGCTTTCCTCTTAGTTCACTGTTTGTTGTATAAGAGAAGTTACCATCTCTCCAAGCTGTCTGATAGGTCTTTAATCTTATGTTAAACATTTTCCACAATCTCCACTTTAAATTTTTAAATCTTACTTCTACCATACAAAGCTCTGTCTTATTTTAATATAATATGGAGTTTGGATCCTGTTCTAGGGCAGAGCCAGGGGGTGGCCAGGGGTGACCATGGCCACCACAGACAAATCTTTGGCCACCCCATTGGCCACCCTGCTGCACACACCCCTTACACAGTGAAACAACCTTTAGGGGTGTAATAATCCTCCTGAACAGTTGGTGGCAGTGTTCAACAGTTTGAAACATCACTGACGAAGTGTAGTGACAAGGAAGTGATGTTTTCTTTATATGCAGAACATATGCTTATGTAATCTGACTTATAATGTCAACTTTTGAACTTACGGTGACAAATGTTTTTGTTTTATTTTTTTTTTTTGTCACCATAACACAGTGTCATTTTATGTTATTAAGGTTGGATAATGCTCTGTGTTTGGTCTGTGTTTTGGTTCAACCAGGACCAACGAGTTCTGGACAAAAGCTCCCAAGATGAAAGCTCACAGCCTTAATGAGAAAAAGACAAAAGCTCACAATTTTTCCAATCTTTAAAACACCACAGGTATTTGTGGTACCTCCGAGTTGCTCACATGTTCCTTATTTTGACTTGTACTTTCTAACCTTGCACAATTGATTTTTAAATAATATTTTTATTCACTCGAGAGCAAGATTGAGCAGTTTCTTGTTAATGAGGCAGTTTCTTTGAGCAGTCTTGGGGTGCTTGGGGGTCTTGCAATTGTGGGAACAAATCTCAAGGATTGTTTCTAATCGTGTACAATGTTTACATTTGTAATGTGACATAGTGTGAGGTATGATAATACTCTGTGATATAAATCTTATGGGCTAGTACAGTGATGCAATGTGTGGCTAATAACCACATAATGTGAGCTTTTTCATTAAGGGTGTGAGCTTATATCAGGAACTTAAAGCAGCCAGTTCTGTTTGTGTCTCTTTCCTGTCCTCAAGCCTGCAGATGGTTGCCCATCCCTGGTTCTGGTTCTGGCTCTGCTGAAGGTTTTTCCTGTTAAAAGGGAGTTGTTCCTTTCCACTGTCACCTACATGCTGCTTAGGATATGGTTTATTGCAATAAAGTGAAAATCTGATATAATCTGCTGGATTCCTTACAAGAACATGGCATTTTATAATGTTCTGTATGTGGATCAACTGTTTAAAACAGGAACTAATTAACTGTAATTGGATTAGAATGATTAGATTTATGATTATGTTCTTTCTTTATAGTTCTCTAATATGACACTGGTGGTGAATTGTCTTTAAGTATTAAAAACAAAAAGGCTGAAATATTTTTTTCCGCACCACATCCTGGAATCCTCCTTTCAGTTTGGTTATTATAAACCCATCACCAACAATTGAACTTAGCAGGTTTTTTATTGACTCTCATTGAGCTCCTTGGTTTCCTGGGGACTTCAAAAGAGTTCATTACGTTACGACCTTTTCTAAAACCATGCAGATTTTGCTGTTCAGTTTTGCATGAAATAAAAATAAACGATGCTAAATGTGAAGCTGTGAGATTAAAACAAACTGTTTACTTTTCCTCCTGTTTCTACTTTCCACACTTACTGCTTACCTAATGTTTACAGCTGCTATCAGACGCGTTGTCACGAGTGTTTTTCTCACTTTATCATTTAACAGCATATTTACACAGGAGGTGCCACATAAACGGCGTATCAGCAGCAGCAGCCTTATCATTGATATAAAATATATTCAGGTGCAATGTCAGTAATGGCTGAAAAACTAAGCTTTAAAGTGAGCAGCTTTAGTGGTGCATCAGTCAAAGAGGGTAAACGGATTCAAATAATGTGCAATCCATCAAACGCTCATGAAACAGACAACTGAAGGACTGAGTTTATAACTGAGTTTTAGGGACTCTCCGCTCCAAACAGAAGATTGATTTAGGCATAAATGTCAACGCAGGTCAAGCAAATACTAACATATTTCCCTTGTGAAGGGTTCTTTTTATTTGTTTAGTTCTTTATGGAAGAAATTAGAAATCAGAGGAAGCTGAAAAGTTTTTTTTTTATTATTTTCAAACTTTTTTGCCTGCTGTCAGAAAAGGAACTCAGGGGAAATCTCGAATTTCCTTTTGACGTGATCTCTTCCTGTGAAGAAGGAAGGCGGCAGAAAGAGCCGCAGCACAGATATTTGTCTCAACGTGAAACAAAAGCAGCGCATTTATTGCTGCACGACTCGCTGAGACGTCGCGGATGTTTTGGCAGGATGCATCCGTGTAAACACAAACAGACCTCGCCCACTGAGAACGCCTGCATCTTGCATGATGATGCCCTGAGTTCGTATCTTTCCACCCTGGTTCACAGCAGATAAATGTGTGTGTGTGTGTTTGTGTTACTGAGACAGAGCTGCATGTGGTTCCACTGGTTGGTTCTTCAAGGGGTTTTTCAGGAGTGACAGGTCTATTCCCCTGCTGAATGTAAAAGGAGTGTCTCTGACTGCTGCACCTGAGCCAACTGCAGACAGGAAAACCTCCTAAAACCTGAATAAAAAGCTTTACTCAGATCCACATATAGGAACATTTTAAAAAATGGTGCACATTGGTGAACAGATGCAAAATAAAAACCACATTTTTAGTGAAAGTTTCTCATTTCCAAACCCTTTGTGAGAGCTGAGCGTGGATTGCAGTGGATGTCCACACTGTTGCAAAAGCAGGAAGCTGAAATGTGCTTCCCGTGCTGGAAATGGAGCCACGCTTGTCATCCGGCGGGAATCGAAAAGAGAAAGATCAACCCGAGCTTGTGGCTTCACCATCGGGAAGCACTGCCTGACAGCTTGTTTTCATCAAATTAAGTGTCTTGGATGAGCTAACGGGTTGCCTACAGAAGCAGCAGATCTGGAAACAGGAGGCAGGAGACACGAAACCCTCTGCTGGGTGACGTCCAGGAAGTCAAGATGGAAGAAGTCAGCACTGGATGGAGGCGAACACTAACGCCAATAACTCAGCCAAACACAGCAGTGTGTGTCAGGATGATGTCCGCACACATGCTGTGTAATATGTTCTTAATAAAATGATCAGAGAGCATGAATATTTTGTGTTTGTGGCCTTGTCTGAAGGAAGAAAAAAAAGATCATGTTTAATGTATTCATGTTTTTGTGCTCTGGCAGAGGCTCGGTTGCTGGCAAGAAGGCAGCTGACTTTGGTGCTGTGTTT